TTCGAGCTGGTGAAATTCTAAAGATCAGAGATATTCAGCCCCAGAAACTCACAGCAGCACCAAATACCCTTTTCATTCCTGTCGCTCCTTTTTGCTGCTAAAAGTCAGCAGTCCAAATGTGACCCTTGTGTTCGTGACAAAATGAAATCAGCGGTCCATTTAATTAACACTTGCTGGAAAGATTTGGTGATTCCCCAGTGCCACAGGGTGGTTGTGGGAGGGAAGAGGAGGAGCGAGCCGTTTAGAGGAGGAAGGCTGATTGCTGCTGTCGGAGGCGTCCGCGGGTTACAGGGGATGAGACTACCCAAGGCCTCAGAGCCTCTTGATTTTTTTATGTGCCCAAACACGTAAGAACATAGCGCATATTTATTCCTGCTTCAGAGCGTCAGATACAATGTCTCAGGTTGGCATTATCTGGGCCAGGTTGGGTGTGACATTGCTGTTGGTTTTCAGGGAACAGACTTAGCCAGGTTTTGCCCTTGGCCTAGGACAAAGATTGGCCCTTTGACTCAAAAAAACAAACAAACAAACAAACAAAAAACCATCAGATTCAGTCCTGCTAAATGTGCCCAAAGAACCTGTTTTAAAGTGTAGGTTTTATTATTACTCCGGTAGAGGTACTCAGGGACGGGTACTCAGGCACAGGTACTCAGGTACTCCCAACACGTCAGGAGATGGTGGCCATAGAAAAGACAGCTTGCGGGCGCCTGGGTGGCTCAGTTGGTTAAGCGACTGCCTTCGGCTCGGGTCATGATCCTGGAGTCCCAGGATCGAGTCCCACATCGGGCTCCCTGCTCAGCGGGCAGTCTGCTTCTCCCTCTGACCCTCTTCCCTCTCATGCTATCTCTCATTCTCTCTCTCAAATAAATAAATAAAAATCTTAAAAAAAAAAAAAAAAGAAAAGACAGCTTGCTGCTCACAGCTCCTAGGAGGAGGGGGCACGCCACACCAGGCAGGGCTGCCCAGGGGCAGGGACGTTGGTCAGGAGGCAGAGGGAGTGTGGGGAAATGTGGGGAAGAGCCTTTGTTTTGTGGTTTCTGCAGGAAGGAATGGGTGAGGCAGGGTAATCAGGTTTAGGCTTGGCTACTTTGAATCATTTCATCAGGCTTGGGGGCATCGGGGCTGTCCAGAGTTGTCTGGCCCTGGCGAGGGCCCTGGGGTCACAACCTGGAGGGTGAGAGCCCCACAAAGGAGGAGGAAGGGTGTGTGAGCTCTTGATTGGCTGGTCTGCATATGAAAGGCGAGCTCACACCTCTAAGGGACTGGTCAGCACTGGGAGGGGCCTTCCCTCCAGAGCCACCAAGGCCCCAGATGTCAAAGCACCAGAAACCCATGGTTAATACAGAGCCAGACTTGGAACTGTCCTTGCAGACCCTGTGAATCTACAAGAAAGCATTCAGCTCCTTGACTTTACCCAGAGACCCGGAATTTTCTTTGTGAACCAAGTCTTTGAGGAAGCGCTCCCCTAACCGCAACCGGCACACTGGTAGTTAAGGAAATGCAACATCGCCACCTACTGGCAAAACTAGGAGCTCTCATGAAATCAAAAAGAACAGAACTGGTTTAAAAAAAAAAAATCCAGATTTTGTACCCAAACCATCAATGTTTCCCACTTCCCCCAGAAGTTTCTGCTCCCTGGTGCTCCCGTAGCTTGCCCTGAGCCTCGGTGTGTGGATTGAGATGTCTGAGGTCTGTTTTTCTCTGGGCATTTTGACTCACAAGTTCCCTAGTGCGGATGGAAAGTTCAGGATGAGTTAAATATCCAGGGTTACAGAATAATAATAATATGACAGGCCTGGAGCTCATAAGTTTTCCAGGCTGCTTCTCGGTGATAAAGGTTAACGGGAAACTGGTTCTCAGTTTCTGTCGAGAGTTGGTGGTTTATTTTTCCTCATCTCAGAATAGGTTATTTTCTCTACCTTCCTGCCTCGTGTCCAGCCAGACCCGTGGAACTCCGGGGATGTGAACGCTGTCGCAGAGAACAGAACCTGCCCTGTCCTTTCCAATTTCCGTTGCTGGGGGTGGAGGGGTGTTATGTTTCCTTCTTATACTATTGAGGAGAAAATGGATGGTAGGGGTAGCGAATGTCCTCATTCCTTGATTCTCAAGAATTGAAACAAATGCAGGAAAGACACAAGGCGTTGCTTTGAAAATCACATGATTTCGGACCAAACAGATTTAGACTCAGAGTGATTATTGTAGAACTGAGGTCAAACGCCAGAAATGTCTGCTGTTGTCCTGGCTTTAAGATTCGAGGGGAGCAGTGGCTTGCCTGTGCAACTTTCCATGTTGACAGTGAGCGAAGGGCAGGGGGGCAGGGCCCGAATGCAGAATATGAGCCCCCCCTGACTGGGGATTTCGGGACATGGGTGGGAGGTCACTTAGCTCCTCCCCTCCTGCAGTGCCTTCACTGCCTCTCTCACTATCCCTCCTGAGAGCCGTACCCAGCAGCCCGCGGGGAGGAGGGAAGCTGACAAGCAGAGTCTCTCACTCCCAGACACTTACTAAGCCCACGTGTGTGCCAGGCGCTATATCAGTGCTGGAGACAAACATGAACGGGATTTGGCTTCGCCCTCCAGGAGGCCGTTCACAGCCGAGAAAGAAGATGCCCTAGGGAGCAGAAAAGTACAGGACCCTGGGGGAGCACGGAGAGCAGAGGAGGAGCCCGGGGGAGGAGCTCTTCCCTGGGGGCCATCAGCAGAGTCCAGGAAAACATGGTGTTCCTGAGTGAGGGCAGACGGGAGCAGGAGTGGTTTGGGGTGTGGAGGATGGTGGTTTCTGGGTCGAGAGCAATAGCTTGAACAAAGGCACGAAGCAAGATTCATCTATAATGGGCCACGCCTGCAAGTCGGCCTCCCTCGATCCCTTCCCTCCCTTCCCTCCTTCCCTTTTCCTTCTTTCCCTCCTTCCTTCCTTCTTTCCTTCCTTCCTTCCTTCTGATTTTGCTATTCTGACTACCCCCAGTCAAAAATCCTTCACAACAAATGTGGATTTTTTTTTTTATTAAATCCAATTTAACTTATTTTGCTTTAAGACCTAGAGTTTACTACTGCATTTCTTTTTTTTTAAGATTTTTTTTTTTTTTTTGAGAGAGAGAGAATGAGAGAGAGAGAGCATGAGAGGGGGGAGGGTCAGAGGGAGAAGCAGAACCCCCGCTGATGCATACAGGACTTGATCCTGGGACTCCAGGATCATGACCTGAGCCGAAAGCAGTTGCTCACCAACTGAGCCACCCGGGCGTTCCTTTGGGACCACTGTAGACCCTTTATGGAGCCTCCATGACCTAAAATACCTCCTCCAAAAAGCAAGAGGCAGGTGCTTCTTTTTTTTTTCTTGCAGGGAGAGACTGGGTGGCAGAGGTCCACCAAGGATCCTACTCATTCCCAAACTTTATAAGAATGAGCTCCATACTCTAATTTCCAAATATTTTGTAGACTCTCACCTAGGGGAAATTGTATTAATACCTGTTGATTGAAAATATCTGCTAGTATCTGAAGTTACTCTGGATTCACTCACAAGTTTAAACGAATCTGTATGATATTAATCACAGCAGCCTCTGCATACCCACACCGGAAAAATGACAGAAAACATAATCTGTCTGCGGATAAGAGGTTACAAACGGGTGGGCTGTGGGCTTGTCCTTGCCTAGGGGTGTGTTTTGTTAGCCTCATGCAATGTTGGTTTGTTGTTTTTGTTGCTGTTACTGTCTTCATCCAAACGAGTTTCCAATATTTGACAGCCGTAGACTTCTTAGGTGGAGAACCACTGACCGGGTCCCTCAGTCTTCTTTTACCGTCTGGAAAACAGAAGCCCAGAGAGATGAAGTGATTTGCCCTAAACCATACAGAGCTGGGACCAGATCACTGGTCTCTTGACTTCCTCCCCAGGATTCTTTCCATCATACTGTAACGCTGTTCTAGAAGGACCTAGCCCTTATCTTCCCATTACACCTGCTACTGCCACCGCCACCTCAGGGTAGCCCCAGTTTCCAGGAGGCAGGTATCCAGTGGCCCCACTCAGGGCCTGTTCCCTGGCAAGGCTCTGCCTTCCATCACCCCCTCCCTGCACGCGGCTGGTCCCTAGACAAGTACAAGTGCCTAATCTGATTACGTGATTTAATAAACGCCAAAGTCGATGCATAAAAAGGTGCATTAAACGTAAACGTAAATAATTTCAGCATGTTTCATCATGAAAGAAATCTATAAGCTCCATCTGGATAAAAATCCAATTCTCATTTGGCTTAATATGCATTAATACCACAGCATTAAGAGCACTTACCACAGCTCTCTGGATTCGCAGAAATCAAATCGCACCTCACCGCCTTTGGGAAGATAACGTCGTAACCATTTGAAAGAAGAAATAGGGCCTCCTTTTTCAATTGAGCAGAAGAAATTATCTTCAAGAAATCCAACTCAACAGTGATTAGGACCAAAAAAAGCAATGTATGAAAGTCCAATAATATTATTTAAAAATTGGGGGACCTGGGTGGCTCAGTCGGTTAAGCAGCTGCCTTCAGCTCAGGTCATGACCCCAGGATCCTGTGATCAAGTCCCACATTGGGCTCCCTGCTCAGCGGAGAGCCTGCTTCTCCCTCTCCCTCTGCCTGCCTCTCTGCCTACTTGTGCTCTCTCTCTTTATCTCTGTCAAATAAATAAATAAAATCTTTAAAAATATATATATATATATATTATTTAAAAATTGGAAAGTGGCTTGAGAGAAAGGAGATGGTTGAGTTTAACCCCCTCTGGTGGGAGTTCCAGCTCCCTGGCTCTGGTCAAGGTTGTCAAGCATGGCAGTCCTCATGTGCTAGAAAGGGGCTTGAAAAACTCTGCTTTCTTTCAAAAAAGAACCATATGAAAACAACTGACCACATCTTTTTCTTTGTCATTTAGGATGGGGAGTTCTGGTCCTCATGTCAAATCCTGTAGCTCAGAAAACAGCTGATTTTCAGCTTGATCAGTTGCTGCTTCTGTGGCTCATTAGCAGTTTTTCTCTTTCAGGTTCTATATAGAAAGCATCTCATACCTGAAGGACAATGCTACCATTGAGCTCTTCTTTCTGAATGCTAAGTCCTGTATCTACAAGGTAAGAACTCTCCTCCTGTTCAGTTTTCCACTGAAAGCCAAAAGTATCATTTGAAGCCAGAAATCCCAAGTTGTCGCCCCAATGTGATTTTATTGATTAGTAAACACAATTTATAAGTGGATTGCTATAAATAAATGAGAACGTCCTAAAATAATACTCTTCATTTAACTACAGGATTCCTCCTGATCCCATCACTAAGTTTTGGCTCCTTGGAAGTGCGCCGCCTTTACCTGATTTTAGGGGTCCCCTTCCCCTGGCAGCTGAGACAAAGAGGAAACATGGACAGGGAGGGCAGATGCACTAGTCCATGCAGATAGTTCTCCTAAGGATGAGTGGACTTTTTTTTTTTTTGCAGAAGTCTGTTTGGTTTATTCTTCCAGGTAAATGTTAGAAATACATTGTCATATGTGGCCAAACAAACAAAAACACACACAAAAAAACTTCATTGGAATTGTATCAAATGATGGAGAGAAATTTGGATGGGGAGGGAGAATATATAACTTTAAAACATTAACTCTTCCCATTCATAAGTATGAAATGTTTCTCCATTTAGTAAATTGTTTTTATGTCCCTTAGTTAGGTTCTATAGTTTGTATAGTTCTTTCTTTTTAATTTATTTTAATTTTTTATTCAAATTCAATTTAGTTAACATATAGTATATTATTAGTTTCAGGGGTAGAATTTAGTGAAAACAGAGATGGAGACAAACCATAAGAGACTCTTAACTCTAAGGAACAAACTGAGGGTTGCTGGAGGGGAGGAGGGTGGGGGATGGGGTAACTGTGATGGGCATTAAGGAGGGCACGTGATATAATGAGCTCTGGGTGTTGTATGCAAAGGGTAAGTGGACTTCGTATAACCAAATGCATGCATTATCTGACTATTTTTAGATATTCTGGCAATATCTCTCAAAGGGATGCTATTGGCACTTTAGGTGGGCAAAATTTTTTAATTATACTAAAATACACATAAAATTTATCATTATAATTACTTGTAAGTATCCAGTTCAGTGATTTTAAGTGCATTCGCAGTGTTCATATCTCCATCCATCTCCAGAACTCTTTTCCTCTTGCAAAACTGAAACTCTGTACCCACTAAACACTAACTCCCCATTCTACCCACCCCCAGCCCCTGGCCACCACCATCCTACTTTCCGTCTCTATGAATTAGACTACCCTAGGGACTTTATATCAGTGGATCCTATAGTGTTCATCCTTTTCTGACTGGCATAGTTCACTTAGCATTATGACCTCAGGGTTCATCCACGTTGTAGTGTGTGTCAGAATTCCCTTCCTTTCTAAGACTGAATAATATTCCATTGTATATAGAGACCACATTTTTTCATCCATTCATCTATCAGTGAAAACCTGGGTTTCTTGCACCTTTTGGCTATTGTGAATAATGCCCCTATGAACATGGATCTGTAAATATCTCTTCAACACCCTGCTTTCAGTTTTTTTCGGGTGTATACCCAAAAATATGGTAATTGTATATTTAAATCTTTGGGGAGCTGCCATATTGTTTTCCACAGGGACTGCACCACATAATATTCCCACCAACAGTGAGTAAAAGTTCCAATTTCTCAACATCCTCTCCAACAGTTGTTATTTTGTGGGTTGTTTTTTTTTTTTTTTTTTAATAATAGCCATCCTGATGGGTGTTGGGCAGTAGCTCATTGTGATTTTGATTTGCATTTCCCTAATGATTAGTGTTGCTGAGCATCTTTTCATATGCTCATTGGCTATTTGTACATCTTCTTTAGAGACATGTCTGTTCAGGGACAATTCTCAATTGAGTGGGAGAGTCCCTTGCACTGCATCCAGTTCCCCCATCTGCTTGCAGTGTTTCCTTTCACTGGCCAACCCAAAACGCCCACATACGTTTCCAGCACACACCCCTGCCTGGGGAGAGGGGCTTGCAGACACCACCAGGGCTGAGATCCTCTACTGCGAGAAGGTATTTGTTTGTTTGTTTGTTTTATTATGTTCAGTTAGCCACTGTATAGTACATCATTGGTCTTTGATGTAGTGTTCAATGTTTCATTAGTTGCATATAACACCCAGCAATTTCACTACTAGGTGTTTACCCCAAAGACACAGATGTAGTGAAAAGAAGGGGCACATGCACCCCAATGTTTATAGCAGCAATGTCCACAATAGCCAAACTGTGGAAGGAGCCGAGATGCCCTTCAACAGATGAATGGATAAAGAAGATGTGGTTCATATACACAATGGAATATTGCTCAGCCATCAAAAAGAATGAATACCCAGCATTTGCATCAACATGGATAGTACTGGAGGGGATTATGCTAAGTGAAATAAGTCAAGCAGAGACAGACAGTTAGCATATGGCTTCACTCATATGTGGAACAAAAGCAATAGCATGGGAGAAGGTATTTGAAGGAAACACCCACACTGCTTCCCTTGTGTGTCATGACTGCAAGCTTCAAGGCACCGCCTCAGGTCAGCTCATTAACAGCCACAGAGAAGGACAGCCTATCACCTGTGGCATGCTAGGTGCTGAGTGCTTTCTGTAAGTTGTGTGGCTGAATCTTCCCCACACTTAGAGGTGAATATTACTTTTTATCCCTGTTTCCCCTGGGAGGAAGATGAGGCACAGGGAAGTTAGGAGATTCGCCTGAAGTCACAGATCTACTGAATGGCAGTGTCAGTGGGGGCTGAAGCTGGCAACCCGACTCCAGGTCACGGAGCTCAGCCACGGGGCTGCTCTGAGCCCCAGAGGGCAGGCTCTCCCCCAGAATGGAGAATGCCCCCCCCACAGCCACAGAGGACTTCAAAGCTAAGCACACTCGTGGTAAAGTGGTCAGTGGCTGAGGAAGAAGTCTGAAGAGATCCCACCGCCTATATTTTCAAGTTTAAACCCTATTTTAGGGGATTGCCACAAACCCACCAAACATTAAAACACACGCATGAGTTGGATTGGTACATCAGCCGTCAGTTTTTCTTCTGCAAGTTCTTCAGCACATTCATTGCACAGAATAGTCCCTCCAAATGCACATGTCCATAATAATAGAAGGCCTGGTAGGGATCAAATTTAATTCTGTGAAAGGACCTCACTTGGTGACAGTTGCTGAGCCAGGACTTAAACTGGGCTCAAACCCAGACCGCTCAGACTGCAGTATTTTGGGGTTTTGCTGAATGGGGGAAAAAGACACTAAATGCAGTTCCAGGAACTTGCAAATTCCTTCCTCTCTCTAAACGTGTTTTCTCATTCTAGCGTGGAAATAAGACCAGCTTGCACATTGCAAGAGTCCCTGAGGGCTTTTGTTTAAGAATGTGAAGGCACATTGAGAAAGTTCGGGAATAAAATGCGAGACTGTCCACCAGGGGGCATACTGGGGCAGTAAATGTCTGGAAATTCCAGTTACCCAACTGATGAAATCAGCTCAACCAAGTGAAAGGTGGCCCCAAATCGTGCTTGTCCAGACGCCTGGGGAAAAGGAAAGAAACAGTTTTTCACTCAGAGTTGTTCAATTCAGTCCAGTCACAAATGCTTACCCGGAGCTGAAGGCTGCGGTGTTTCTGAACACCATGCTCGCAGAAGACTCTGGGATTCATGGAAAATGAAGAAGGAGAAGAAATCCTCAGAATTTAATATTACGGGTCCTCCAGGGGGAGGTGGCCTGCCACATCATCCGGCCTACTGACCCAGCTGCTGTCTGGCTCTTCTCAGGATCCGCACTAAAGCTGGCTTCCCTGAAGTTTCTGTAGGAGACCAAGTAGGGTCACAAGACTGCCTGTCTCCCTCCTGTCATCAAAAATAACATTTGCATTTGCATACATTGGCACTTCAAGCTTCTTTAGAATTGTCACATATATTATCTTATTTGAGCCCAACAGGGAAGTAGAGCCAGAATCATTAGCTTTACCGAGAAAGAAACTGAGGTCAGAGAGGTCAAGGGACTTCCTCAAGGACCAAGGACCGGAAGTGGTTGAACAGGCAGTGCGGCTCTGTTTGGAGCCCCGCACACCTGGGTTCCTGTCCTAGCTGTGCTTCATAGTCAATGCAATCAATGTGGACGCCTTCTTTGATGTCTCCAAGCTTAATTTTCCTCTTTGGTTGAACAAGGACATTAAAGGACCCGACCCAGGGCGCTTGGGGGCACACTCAGTTAAGCATCCGACTCTTGGTTTCGGCTCAGGTCATGATCTCAGGGTTGTGAGATCGAGCCCTGCGTCCAGCTCTGTGCTCAGTCAGCTTGAGATGCTCCCGTTTTGCCCCCCCACCCCCAGCTCACTGGCACGCGTGCTCTCTCTCTCTCTCTCTCTCTCTAAATATATGAATACGTCTTTAAAGGACCCGACCCACACCCTTCTTAGGAAGATGAAGCAAGATGAAGCATGAGTGTCGTTGGTTAACCCTGTGCCGGGGACACTGTGGGCTCCTGCTGTGGACATACTGGTCACTTGGATCCAGACCCAAGTTGTTCGTCTCGGCTGAGGGTTTCTGTGTGCCACCCACACTGCCCCCCAGCATTTCGGGGGCCTGGAGGAGCCCAGAGGGCAGTGCCAGACACACAACCTGGACATGACGCTAGTAGACGGGGGCTTCCGCTTACCCAGCGCAGGATTCATATATCAGCTCCCTCCCTGTTTCTCTGGGAACGATCCCGATCCCTGCAGTGTACCAGAATCTGAATTGTTCAGATAAATGAGCTCTTTGTTCCTGCTTCCTCCAAGCACTGTTTCATTCACTTTTTAAAGCATTGATTCTTTTTTTTTTTTTTAAGAAAGAAAGAGTGCACGAGTGCATGAGCGGGGGAGTGGGTGAGGTGAGGGGCAGAGGGAGAAAGAGTATCCCAAGCAGGCTCCCTGCTTAGCATGGAGCCCAACATGGGGCTTGATCTCACGACCCTGAGATCATGACCTGAGCCGAAACCAAGTTGGTCGCTTAACCCGACTGAGCCCAGGCGCCCCAAATTAATACTTTTATCAAAGTAATATGTGATGCAGTTTAAAGTCAGATGGTTCAGGGCGCCT